AAAGGGATCCAAATTGGAAAGGAGGAAGTGAAATTGTCATTATTTGCAGATGACAGGATACTGTACATAGAAAACCCCAAAGACTCCACCAAAAGTTTACTGGACTTAATAAATGAATTTGGCAAAGTAGCAGGATACAAAATTAACGTCAAGAAGTCGATGGCATTCTTATACACCAATGATGAACTCACAGAAAGAGAAACTAAGAACACAGTCCCATTTACCATTGCGGCAAAAAAATTAAGATACCTAGGAATAAACTTAACCAAAGAAATAAAGGACCTATTTGCAGAAAACTACAGGTCATTGAAAAAAGAAATAGAGCAAGATATAAAAAAGTGGAAGCACATACCCTATGCTTCATCATTAAAATACCCATATTACCCAAAGCAATATATAGATTCAATGCAATCCCCATCAAAATACCAACGGCATACTTCACAGAATTAGAACAATTACTTCAAAAGTAATTACTTCATATGGAAACAAAAAAAGGCCTCGAATAGCCACAGCAATCTTGAAAAGGAAGAACAAAGTTGGAGGGATCACAATACCAGATTTCAGGTTATACTACAAAGCCACTATAATCAAAACAGCCTGGTACTGGCACAAGAACAGGTATATAGACCAGTGGAACAGAATAGAGAACCCAGAAATGTACCCAAGGCAATATGCTCTATTAATATTTGACAAAGGTGGCAAAAGCATACAGTGGAGTAAGGACAGCCTCTTTAATAAATGGTGCTGGGAAATTGGACAGCTACTTGCAGAAAAATGAAACTAGACCATCAACTTACACCCTACACCAGAATAAACTCAAAATGGATAAAAGACTTAAATATAACTCATGAATCCATAAAATTCCTAGAAGACACTGTGGGCAACAAAATTTCAGACATCATACGCAGCAGAATTTTTACTGACACATCACCTAAGGCAATAGAAACAAAGGAGAAAATGAACACATGGGACAAATCAAACTCAAAGCTTCTGCACAGCGAAAGATACAATCATCAAAACAGAAAGGCTACCCACTGTATGGGAGAGCATAATTGCCAATGATATATCAGATAAAGGGTTAATTTCCAATACATATAGAGTGCTCACACAACTCCACAAAAGGAAGACAAATAATCCAATTTAAAAATGGGCAGAGGAACTAAATAGACACCTCTCCAAACAGGACATACAAATGGCTAAGAAACATGAAGAAATGCTCAACATCACTAATCATCAGAGAGATGCAAATCAAAACAGCAATGAGGTATCACCTCACACCTGTCAGAATGGCCACCATCAACAAATCATCAAACAAGTGTTGGCGAGGGTGTGGAGAAAAGGGGACTCTAGTGCACTGCTGGTGGGAATGCAGACTGGTGCAGCCACTATGGAAAACAATATGGTGTCACCTCAAAAAATTAAAAATTGATCTTCCATTTGACCCAGTGATCCCACTTCTAGGAATATACCCCAAGAAGCATAATACACCAATCAGAAAGAATATATCCTGTACCCCATCTTTGTAGCAGCACTATTTACAATCGCTAAGATCTGGAAACAGCCCAAGTGTCCATCAGTAGATGAATGGATCAAAAAGTTGTGGTACATATACACAATGGAGTACTACGCAGCGGTAAGAAAGAAAGATTTCTTATCCTTTGAGACTACATGGAGGGACCTTGAAAGTATCATCCTAAGTGAAACAAGCCAAACAGAGAAAAACAAGTTTCATATGATCTCACTTATTTGTGGAATATAATGAACATAACATTTGAGGAATGGGACACGGAAGCGGGGTACAGATTGACAATCCCCTAAAGAGGGGGGAGGAGGGGGAGTGATGAACCAGAGTACTTATATGCATGTATGCATGAACAGTGGACATGGACAACAATCTGGGGAAGGGGCAGGGAGGGATGTGGAGGGGAGAATCAGTTGGGGCAAAAGGAGAAACATCTGTAACAAAAATTAATCAATAAAAACAAAAAAGCTATAGGCATTTTTATTTGAAATACAATGGAACATTTTGTTTTGTAACTAATCGGGATGACACCATACAGATTATAATTCAGAAAAAAGGAATTATTTCACTTATAATCTGGGTCTCTCAAGAGAAGATGAAACTGAAATTGGTAGAAGGAATATCAGACAGAGCAGTCATGAGAATAGGATTGGTTTCTACTTGCCCTGGAACTTGAAACTGTCTCATAAATACAATGTCATAGAGAGGGGTATTTTAAATTAATGTCCATTTTTACATGTAATAATAAGCCTTTAAAATTAATGTTATATCTACTATCTATTAATAATTTGCTAGCACTGTTCTAAAGGTTTTCTTGGATCATTTTATTTAAACAACATATATATCAATCTTGAGAGTTAATGATATTATCTCCCTTTGGCCAATGAGAACAGTATAGCAAAGGTGACTTATTGTAAGTCCCAAACCTGGTAAGCGTGGGAACTTGGATAAATGATAGATGCTCATTGAAGAAAATCTGAGTTAATGTATTATAAAAATGTTGAAAATGAAAGCAATCATCATTTACTTTTAACTATTTTTCACACATTTATACATAGTAATATGTTTGCTTGGATCATTACACATTTAAAAAGTATTTTTAAAATATTTCAAATAAAATAGTTTAGCTTTATTTTTATATTAAATTTTACTAATACAGCTTTATATTCTTTTAAAGTTAACTTTATATGTTAAAAACATGTCAGGTCCTTAAAAATGTATGTGAATATCATTATAAACGACCTTTGAAAATATAAACCCTCCCGTACTGCTTACTTACCCCTTCTGGTGTTGGCTGATTTACTTAATCACTCTGTATCTCACTTTCTACAATTGTTGAAATAAATATCTTTCAGAGACTTTAGAGAGTTACATTATGAAACTAAAAATGAAAATGAACATAAAATATAGACAATAGTGTCTGACACATAATAAGCCTTTTTAAATACTTTTAAGTTGTATTTTCTTTGTTATTGAAAAACCAGAGAATTAACTTCTTAAATGATATTTTAATTTTAAAAGAAAATAAATCATTCACTCTATCAGAAAAAAACAGTTTTTTAAAATACAAATATTTCATTTCATTTTTTTTAACAATTAGACATTTATGTATTTGAGATTCAATGTATTCTCATTCGTACCTTATGTTTTTATTTTTAAATGTAAACTATTTAACATTTAATAAATCTTCAAAATGCCATTTTAATGGCTTTATAATATTTTATCATTTTGAATGCAACATAAATTATTTGCCTTGTCACTATTTTTTTTCTAAGGGTCATATTGAAGAGCTGATATAACTTTTCTCTCCTGATATATATTCTTCTGAAGACACTATATTGCTAAGATACACTGTTCTTCTGTACATTGCATAAGAAAATACATACAAAATATTTAATAAGGATATTTTGAGAAGGTCTACACTTCCATGCATTCCTTTTGGTAAGGGCTCATCTTCTCACATCTGGTGTGTTCCACTTAGGTGCTGGTCTCTAATTTGCTTGCATAAAAACTATAGGAGACTAGGAAGATACTGTGTAGGCTCAAGAAGATAATGGTCCTCCCACCTAGATACTGTCATGGTCAGAAAGAGTATTGGTCTCCATGTAAATCAAAGAAATATGAGCCCATGTGAGGTGGGAGAAGGGCTAAGGGATCATGTGTCTAATTCCATTTCTTGTGTCTGCCTGGCCTGAAAATTACTCTTTTTTTCCCTTCCAGTACATCTCAAAATTAAACAATAGACTGTGAATCTTTGAAATGGGGACTAGAGAAAATGAATATGTTGATTTTATTTGGTTAATTTTTAGTTAAAGTGAAGAGTATATATAGGAAACTTGCAAGGAGATACCTATATTCTTACAAGAAGCTCACTACAGGCACTACTTTTAGGCACATGCTTCAGTACACAATAACAATTTGTGTCTATCTCTCCTATGGGGATGGGAATAATATATTTGTCTTTTTATTGTCTTGAAATTAAGAATGGTTTTAGTGTAACAGTCAAGAGGTGCCAGAGTATCTGATTCCCTACCCTACTCTACCAATTAGCTATATACCAGCTCTGTGACTTGAACAAGTGACTGAATTACTTAGTACTTCACTTAAATCATGAGTCAATTACACTTGATGATAAAAGAACAGATTTATAGATAGTGTGAGTAAAAGGAGCTAATATATTCAAAGAATTGAGAACACTAATTGGCAACTCACACCACACACACACGCACACAGACACACACAGCACACGGTGTTAGTTCTTCTGATCCTGGCAGGTTCTCTCTCTTTTTTCACAGGCAAAATCAAGGGTTGCTGGATAGAGTGGGCTCCTCTAACAGCCCCAGTGAATTCGGAGCTCTGTTTTGAAGACATCATGCTGCCAGAAATCTTTGCCCCACATGTCCCAGAAAAATGACATTGCTCCCTCCCTAATGAACTCCAGATGCCCTAGAGTTTACTTAAATAATTACAATCCTTAAACTTCACAGTTTGGTCTCACAGTGCAGTTCAAAAAGCATGGACTTCTTTGGCTGATCATTAAGCCTAAATTTTCTAAATTTAATTTCTTTAGTTGTAAAACAGACCAATAATAGTTACATTGCTAAGGGGTTGTCTTGAGTATATAAGATAATAATGGTTCCAGCCATTCCCTCTCTCCGCTTGAAACATAGGCCACTTACTGAAAGTCTCTGGATGGTGATATGATGGACAGTATCACAGCCTGGGTGCTCTCTGTCCCCAGACAAGACTTCAATTAATTGGAATATAGTGTCAAATAAAGCTTCAGAAGCACAATTCCTGGCCTTAGCTGGAAGCAAATGTGCAAGCATAATCCAAGATAGCTTCCTGGAAAACTCAGGAAGTGTTGCAGACAAGGTGAGGCTGAGGCCAACCCAGCAGGGGAGGGGCATGCTGATTGGGTTGCCACTGCTGGGAAGGATGTGGTGAGCACAAATCCAGGTGCAGATCATGTGGGAGTTTATCTCAACAGTTCTAGTACTGTGAGTCCCCCTAAAATAGTAATGTGTGTACCACCCAGCACAGTAGTAAATGGCCATATCTTCTTTTTCTATGAAATTTATTGTAAGGATTGAAGTGAAATGTCGAGAATTCTTTTTTGCCTCAAATTTGTTATTCCTCCCATCTTTATGGCTTCGAGTTGCACTTTTGCTTGAGCTTACATAAATCAGATGCTCCAAAGCCTGATTTGGTTTCTGCCGGTACCAGTGAATGATGTCATTTTCAAAATTTGCACTTGATATCTTGCAATACATGTCGATACTTTTCTTCACTTCTGTCGTAATGGATATCTGGGACTGCTCCAATTTTGATAGCCCAAGTCCAACTGCGTGCAAAAGAAGAGAATTTCCAATGAACTCTGATAATATATGAAACAATAAAGAATTTCTTTGCTCACTCATTTATACTGAAATGATCAGAGAATGTGACTCACGAGCCCAGAAGGACAAGAAGGTGACTACTTTCAGCAGTGACATCCTGTGGACAGGCAGTGTCCTCAAGAGAAGGCAGAAAAGTAGAGACCCGGTTGCAGGCCACCTCAAGTCAGTGGCAGGTAGGTGTGGCCTAAACTGGGGAGAGGGAAGGAAGTGGTGGGTCAGGCAGGACCTTGGGCCTTTAGTGCTGCCTGCTGGTGTCTGAGGTTACTCTTTTCTGTGGGCCTCATGATCTCAAGATAAGTCTCATGATCTCCTTAGGGCTCTCTGGCATGAATGGGAAGGGGCCATGGGGGCACCTTGGGACGTGCTAGTAAAGATGCTTGTTAATGAAACTCAGAGAAACAAGGTAAAGATAGAAATAAAAAAATACCATAATTATATTACCCAGACCAAATCTATTATCTTTGTGGTGTTAACTCCTAGATGTCTTCTTTGCATGTATATGGATAGCAGTGAGATTTTATGGACTATAAATATATTTAAGTTACATGTGGAACATGTACAGGGTTTTGTGATCTTCTTCATTCAGTTCACCTGATAATCTGAGCTGCTTCCCATGTCACTGAAGCTTTTTTTAATGTCTGCAGTTGATCACTGTTCTTCTCTGTCACTTAGAAGCTGTGTGACCCTGTGCAAATTTATTAATCTCTTTGTTCCTCATATTCCTTGCCTAAAAATGGATGCATTAATAATTCCTACCTCAAAAGGTTATGCAGATTAAATAAGCAAAAGTACCTAGTATAGTTTCTGGTATATAGTAATTTTTCAGTAATTATTAGATAGTATTATTAATAATACTATCATTTTTTTTAAACTGTCAACTGATTCTCTTATGGTTGTCTCTGAAATCTTTGTATGTATGAGAACTCCTTTAACCCTGGACAGCGCTTGTCCCTGAAACTTATTTCCAGCCCTATAACATTTTATGTGGAGCACATGTGAACTCAGACTAGCTTGGGTCTTTTCGAGGAGAAAAGAGAGAAAGAAGCTGGCTCAGGTGGCTTAATTTTTCTTCTGAGACAGTTGCCCTATTTTCCCTCTTGTCCAATAAATATCATTTCTGAGATGATAGCACTGGGAAGTTAAATGTTGAGGAGGTAGAGAGTGGTAGACCAAAAGGCCTGTGGCTCTTCTGCACAGGGGTGCCTTCTGGGAATGAGAAGGAGAAAAGAGAGGAACAACAATGCTGTAGCCTGGGCCAGTGCTGCTGCAGGTGCTCAGCTCTGGATCTTGGGTGCTGCCACCTTTGGGCAGCCATAGTGACCTCAGACGTAGGTCCCTTACACCTCTCTTACTGTCAGACATTTTCTTCCAGATCTTACACCTCCAGCATCAGTATGTGTATGTGTGTGTGTGTGTGTGTGTGTGTGTGTGTTTGGGGGGAGGGGAGTGGGCTATGGGGAGTATATCTAATTGGTAGAGCTCACACTATCTACCTGACTAGTGCAAGGAAGGCTGAGAAAAATATCTGGCATTTTTACTTTCTGTAGTGGGAAATATATTTATTCTACAAAACTTTTGGTCCCATTATCTCATTTTTTCTTCACAAAGTCTATTACGTGAGTACGGTTAATAGTGTTCCCATTTTTTAGATGAAAAAATGGAGGCTTTGACAGAGCAGACCTATTGTCCAAGTCCTGACAGGAGTAAGTGGCAGAACAATAATTTGCACCAGAGGGTCTGACTCTGGAATCCATGTTCTTAAACAAGATACTATATTTCATATACATATAAAGTAGTTTCTTCCTTAGGATAGTCTCTTACAAGAACTTCAGTCTCTTTTTGTACATTGTTTGTGTCTTCTGTGTTTCTCTCTTCTTTGGTTCATACCCAGGATGATATCAGTGCATGCGGGAGGAGTGTGGGTGCTGCCTTCTGTACCCTCTCCAACTTCCAGCTCTTTGCCCTTTTTGTCTTGGATTTGGCCTCTTCCCCCGAGTTAGTTATAGTTAATGCAATAATCAGACCTGAACACACCATCACTGACTCCACACCATGCACTTAGGTACCAAGTTCCCACCCTGCACCTCATGCAACTTCCAAACACTGCAGGCCTTGTTGCCCTCAGCACCTCTCACCCTCTTAGAGACCCTGAGAGAATTTGGGTCTCCTACATGTGAAGCTCTGGGGAAAAGCAGTGCTGGATTGGGCTTGTCTTTGCAAATGCCTTCCACTATTAATGTTTTACTTGCCATGGCCATATTAGGGAACCTTAATATCAGCCAGATGTTCTCAGATTCTCCCTCCATCTCTTTTTGGGTTTTTCTCAAAGTTTCTATCCTCTCTGAGAAAAGACCCTCAGAAGCAAAGGAACCAGAAAGTTACCTTCACTTACTCTCTCCCCCTTATCTCACAATACATCACAACTACCCCTTCTTTAGGGTGGATGGTAACTTCCCCACATAACTTCTCACTTATCTACATGTAGATCTCTAGTAAAATTCTGCATTTCTAGTTTGCAAATTTGCTTTCACTTTTAAACAGGAGATCTGGATATTTAGAAAAGCTCTTCCTTTTCAACTAAACTTGACTTTCAGGCCCACTATCTCATGATTAACAAAAAATGAGCTTTTCGACTATCAAGTATATAATAAAGTATTATTAGCTATAATTACCATGCAGTACATTTGTTCCCCAGAACTTGTTAATTTTATAACCGGAAGAGTGTACTTTTTGACCAATATCTTCTCATTTCTCTTTTAATTAATTGGGTTACCACCTCTGGTAACCAGCATTCTACTCTCTGCTTCCATAAGTTTGACTTTTTTAGATGCCCAATATCAGAGAGATCATATGGCATTTGTCTTTCCCTGTCTGACTTATTTAACTTAGAGTTTTAAGTGCTATAAGACAAAAAGAAGGAAACGTTAGAAATGTTCCTGAAAAAAAGTTTTTTTTTAATCTAAGATTATTAGGTTCATCCAAGTTGTGACAAAAAGCAGTATTTTCTTCTTTCTTTTGTTTTTAACTTTTTGAACAACCACCATACTATTTTACACAGTGGCTCTACCAACTTATAATCCCATTAACAGTGCACAGATGTTTCTTTTTCTCCATATCTTCACCAATGTTTGTTACCTCTAGTCTTTTTGATGGTAGCCATTTTAGCAAGTACAATGTGACACTTTATTGTTCTGTTGGGTTTTTTTTTGGTTTGTTTGTTTGCCATTTTTAAATTTAATTAATTTATTTATTTTTGTTGCAGCAGTTTCTTCTTTTCGCCCAACTGATTCCTCCCACCCGCACCCTCCCCGCCCTGTCCCTAGCTTTGTTTTCCACATCCATTATTCATGCATACATGCATCTAAGTTTTGTAGTTTATCTCTCCCCCACCACTCCTCTCCTGGGGATTGTCAGTCTTTACCCCACTTCCCCGTCTCTGGGACTACCCCATTCCTCAGACATTATATTCCACAAATAAGTGAGATCATATGATACTTGTCCTTCTCTGTTTGGCTTGTTTCACTCAGGATGATACTCTCCAGATCCCTCTATGACATCTCAAAAGATAAGAGATCTCTCTTTCTTACAGCTGCATAGTACTCCATTGTGTATATGTACCAAGGCTTTTTTATCCATTCATCTACTGATGGACATTTGGGCTGTTTCCAGCTCTTAGCTATTGTAAATAGTGCTGCTACAAACATGGGGGTACATATATTCTTTCTGATTGGTGTTTCAGGCTTCTTAGGGTATATTCCTAGAAGTGGGATTACCATGTCAAATGGCAGTTCAAGTTTTAATCTTTTGAGGTAACAGCATATTGTTTTCCATAGTGGCTGCACCAGTCTGCATTCCCACCAGCAGTGTACTAAAGTCCCCTTTTCTCCACACCCTAGCCAACATTTGTTGTTTGATGATTTGTTGATGACGGCCATTCTGACAGGTGTGAGGTGATACCTCATTGTTGTTTTAATTTGCATCTCTCTGATGATTAGTGATGTTGAGCATTTCTTCATATATCTCTTAGCCATTTGTATGTCCTGTTTGGAGAGGTGTCTATTTAGTTCCTCTGCCCATTTTTTAATTGGGTTCTTTGTCTTTCTTTTGTTGAGTTGTATGAGCACCCTATATATATTGGAAATTAACCCCTTATCTGATGTATCATTGGCAATTATGCTCTCCCATACAGTGGGTAGCCTTTCCATTTTGATAATTGTATCTTTTGCTGTGCAGTAGCTTTTTAGTTTCATGTAGTCCCATGTGTTCATTTTTTCCTTTGTTTCTGTTGCCTTAGGTGATGTATCAGTGAAAATTGTGCTGCATTTGATGTCTGAAATTTTGTTGCCTACAGTTTCTTTCAGGATTTTTATGGATTCATGAGTCATATTTAAGTCTTTTATTTATTTTGAGTTTATTCTTGTGTAGGGTGTAAGTTGATTGTCTAGTTTCATTTTTCTGCATATAGCTATCCAATTTTCCCAGGACCATTTATTAAAGAGGCTATCTTTACTCCACTGTATGCTCTTGCCACCTTTGTCAAATATTAATTGAGCATATGGCCTTGGGTTCATTTCTGGGTTCTCTGTTCTGTTCCACTGGTCTATATGCCTGTTCTTGTGCCAGTACCAGGCTGTTTTGATTACAGTGGCTTTGTAGTATAACCTGAAATCTGGTAATGTGATCCCTCCAACTTTGTTCTTCTTTTTCAAAATTGTTGTGGCTATTCGAGGTCTTTTTTGTTCCATATGAACTTCTGAAGTATTTGTTCTAATTCTGTGAAGTATGCCATTGGTATTTTGATGGGGATTGCATTGAATCTATAGATTACTTTGGGTAATATGGACATTTTAATGATGTTAATTCTTCCAATCCATGAACAGGGTGGGTACTTCCACTTTTTTTTTTTTTATCTTCCTCTATTTCTTTTTTCAATGACCTGTAGTGTTCTGCAAATAGGTCCTTTATTTCTTTGGTTAAGTTCATTCCTAGGTATCTTAATTTTTTTGCCGCAATGGTAAATGGGATTGTTTTCTTAGTTTCTCTTTCTGTGAGTTCATCCTTGGTGTATAAGAATGCCATCAATTTCTTGATTAAAGGAAATGCTTTTAATTTTTGCCTATTGAGTATGATGTTGGCTATAGGACTT